GAGAGAGAGAGAGAGAGAGAGAGAGAGAGAGAGAGAGAGAGAGAGAGAGAGAGAGAGAGGGCTTGATAAATGACAACCCCCCATGAGGCAGTGACACATTGTGCACTGTGAAGCGCATTGTCATGTCTGGTTCTTTTGTCTCTCTTCTTCTTCTTCGTCGTCTTCTTTTTCTCCTCGTCCTCCTCCTTCTCGAACCTCTTCTTCATGTTCTTTTTCCTCTTCTTCTTCTTATGTTTGTCTTCTTTTTCTTGTTCAGGAGGGAGGGAGGGAAAGTGGGAAGGGACGGGGGGAGGAGGGGCAGGGTGGGAAGGGAAAGAGAGAGCGGGAGGGGAGGGGCGCGTGAAAGCGCCGTCTCACGCTCGAAGTGGCAGTGCCACATGATGTTCCGAAGGTTTTTTCTTCTATTTTCCGTCTTCGAGTACCTATGATTTACAAACCGCATATGTTAAGGGAAAGGATGTAATTTGAGATCGGCATGAGGGACCGTGTTTGTGTTTTCTATTGCTACAGGTGAGCGCTGCCGTCTTCGCCCGAACACAGCGCGCCCTCAGCATGACTGTATCAGAGTGGAAGGAGGGCTCCACAGTTAGGGTGCGTTATGGTCGGGGGAAGACAGTAGCACCCGCTGATCCGCGCATCGAAGCCCTCGTCGTCTCCTTGATGGGTTCTGTGCGGAGCCTCATGGACGCGGAACTGCGGCGGAAGGGCTGGTTGCAGACTTTTTTGAAGTTTTTTCCCTTTTTTTGCAATTGTAACTCTTTTTTGTGACTCCCCCGTAGTTTCCCCCTTTTTGGGGTAACTTCCGTAGAGTCACAAAAGCGAGTTATCAATGCACTACGGGCCAACATACAGTTTGCAATTGATCTTCGGCCACCCTACTTGGCCAGAAAGCTGGGTTGTATACATTGCCCAATTTGAAACTGCAATTCGAGAAACAGTTACTGTATCTTGGCCCATATTGCAATTGAAAATCATTTTCGTGACCCCCCGGTAGTTTTGCCTTCTCTTCTTGGAGAAGAATAAGGCATGTATTTCCAAATGGAACATTCGGGGCCGGGAAAGCCCCACATACAACCTTGGGCCAATTGCCACTAGAAGCATTGAGTCCTGAATCTGGACGTGTTTGAGGAATGTGGAGAAAAGGTCTTTAGTTTTCCCAACCGCAGATCTCCACAAACTCGACCAGATTCAGGCATTGAGGAAACTCAAAGCTGCTAGTGGGACTTGGGCCCTGGTATGCGGAAAGAGTGCAATGGTACTAAGGCCCTTACGGAGCTTAGACTGATGGGGCCAAGTCCCACTTACCCGTATCCCTCATTTCGGGATGATCGGTAAAAAGCTTCCGCTCCAAAACCTTTCCGGTTTTGGGCGCCCCAAACTCGGTCGTTTGGTGCTACCGGCCCAATGACTTCCATGTGGGGTACTACATGCAGACGTGACCCTCCAAGGGCCCTACAGATTATGAATCTGGAGCATAGCAGCCCAGATTCATTTCTACGTAAAAGAAGCCGAGGGTAGTACTGCTGAAGTATAGAATGAGGCCCACTTATGAGATTTTGGCCCACGTACGGGATTTTGAAAAAGAAGGGCCCTACCGGAAACAGGGCCAAATTTCTGAACCCGTAAAAACAGGCCCAGGAAGATGTGGCCACGGGCACGGCGCGAACGCGGCTTTCACCCAGGCTGAAGAAGTTTGCGACAGTAGTACCAAACGGCCGAGTTTAGGGCGCGCAAAGACCGGAAAGGTTTTGGCGTAGGCTATAAAAATGCCAACTTTGTCTCCTTCTGCTCTGCCTCGAGTACCGGGCATGTCTACCTCTACCTGGTGTGGTACGGGCCTTGCCTGCTACTTGAGTGTTTTTCCGCTGCTTCAAGTGTGGCGGGCCTCCTTCCCCACCACTTGAGTGTTTTACCAGCTGCAACCCTCATTGCCACGGCCACATGTAAGTACCGGCCCTTCAGGCCGTCCACACGGACAAGTACCCTTGCGGGTCACACACACACTTAAACCGACAAACACTCAGACAGGCATGCAGACCAGCAAGCACGCACGCACTCAGGCTTAGAGAACTCAGCAACAAGCAGGAAACTCGGGAAGGCATGCATCCATTGGCAAAACTCAGAAATACTCTGCATCCATTGGCAAAACTCAGAAATACTCTGCATCCATTGGCAAAACTCAGAAATAC